ATTCTCTTTTTTCTTTAAACCATGGGGTATTTGTGGTTTTTATACTTAAATACGGACTGTAATGAGTATTGTCTAAAGAGTTTCGGAAAGATGATGCTTCTGATGTTGCAGATGCTTTGCCTCCCCCCTCCACACAGACAAGGGAGAAAAGAAAACTGCAGAAAACAAATATATATTTTTTCTGGATATTATTTGATTTTCTCCTTCCATTGGTGTTTTTGGCAACTTTTTCCTTGCATTTATTTTCATTCTGTGAATTTAAAGCTGTTTCCTATGAAAAATAATAAAATTCTAGAAATGTAACCGAGCACCTCTTGCATGCTTGATTGAAAGGTGTATGATTTTATTAGCACTCATTTCTGTCTTGCTTTTGCTAAATTAGGCTTTTGTGCTGTATATGTTCATTGAGGATGGATTTAGTTCTTTATTACCTTACAGCTTTTCCTGAATTTTTCTTCTTTCAATAAGGTCTTGTACAAGAGCAGATGTGACAATCGGCTGAATGAAATATCTGAAAGAGTGTCTTCAGAAAAACGTGAGGTATCTATTTGATGGAATAATGTGTAGTTCATCCTTGTTTAACTTAAATGATTATAGTGAACTCATTGAAGGTTTTGATTATTTCAGGTAGAGTCCCTTGCTAAGAAATATGAAGAGAAATACAAACAATCTGGTGATGTAGCCTCCAGATTAACCGTTGAAGAAGCTACATTCCGTGATATACAGGTTCCTTCACTGTTTGTAAATCAGATTGTGGGAACCAGTTTAAACTATGCTATGCATTCAGAAACTTATGATATTTGATGCTGTTGTTTACTCTGGTTTAGGAGAAGAAGATGGAACTGTATCATGCGATTGTGAAGATGGAACAAGATGGTAGTGAAGATGGTATTATTCAGGTAAATTTTAGTTTTCTGGCCAATCGAACAGTGCAGGAGTTCATCTAAGGTCATTTCTATAACCAAAACTTCAGGTTCGTGCTGATCGTATTCAAGCAGATATAGAAGAATTAGTGAAATCTCTCAATGAACGCTGCAAGAGTTATGGTTTGCGTGCGAAACCAATAACTCTGAGTGAACTACCTTTCGGTAAGTTTCTTGAAATGCATTATTTACTCTGCCAAATCTCAGTTGTCTGGGTAGCAGTTTTCTTTCTAGCCGTGTCAATTTTTGTGTCGACATGAAATAAAATCAAGATGTCTTGCTTATGAATGATTTACATGCAAAACAGAAAGATTTACCTTCCATTTTTTGTGAACTAGTCAGTCATAACACATGCAATCTTAATTATAGAATTTTTGGACCGACATGTCGCTTGAATCTTGATATCTTAACTAAGAGAAATATGTGAATGTGAATTTGGGTACAATATAAACTAACTGGAATTTAGTAACCAAGACTGTTGGCTTCTCTCTCTTTCCCTCGGTTCTTTTTTGTTCTTCTTAAGATCTTTTTGTTTTCTTTGTTGTTGATCATTTTCCTCATTGTTTCAAATAAAGGCTGGCAACCTGGCATCCAAGTGGGAGCTGCTGACTGGGACGAGGATTGGGATAAATTTGAGGAGGAAGGTATGCCAGAGGAATTTATATTAGTCATTAACTGATTATTATGCCTTCTTGCTTTACCTTATTTATGGTGACTGCAGAACGATGAATCATTCATAATTTTTTTTCAGGTTTCACTGTTGTCAAGGAACTCACTCTTGATGTGCAGAATGTCATTGCACCTCCAAAGCAGAAATCCAAATCTGATTCGGCGCAAAAAGAACAAGGTTCAGCTATTGACAGCCAAAAAGTTACACCTGCACCAGATGTTGATACCAAGGACGGAGGTTCTACACCTGATGCTGATTCCAAGGGAGAGAAACCTCCTAGTATGGATGAAAAAGCTGTTGAAAATGGTTCCGTACACGATAATAAAAGTGAAGATGGATCAGCCAGAAGTGCTCCTAACAGCCCCTTTGCAAGTAGTGTTATTGAAAGTCCCAAGGAACACAGGGATTCCAATTTTGGGAAGGCTGCTGGCTTTGATGCTTCACCCCGTGACAAGGACACTCAATATAGGGATTCCAATCTTGGGAAGGCTGCTGGCTTTGATGCTTCACCCCGTGATAAGGACGCTCTAAGGTATTGTCAACTGTCCTTTTCTTTTCTTTTCCCCCTCGAAGTAGTGTTTATGACCATATGTTGGGCCAAAGTGTACATGGTGAGGGAGAGTGTTCGAAAATGTTTTGAAAAGATTTGGCCCTATATAACGGATATGAAGTATCAAAGAAGAATGGGTTGAAAATATTTTACCTTAGCCCAACAACTTAAATTTGTTATAGTATTAGTGATGATTTAATGTATCAAAATTCCTCAATCTAACTCGTCTTCTTGTGTCTCTATTTCTCTAAGAGTTTTCGTTTTTCACTTCCATAGCCTGTTTCTGTGTAACCATTTCTTTGTGGGTAATGGGTCATGGTCTTGATCTTTAGTTGAGTTCCATTGTTATTGATATGTTTTTAAGAAATAATATCAATTCACAAAAGTGGAGTGTAAAAAGGAGGGTGCTGGGTGTTCAGTTACAGTGGAATTATGGGAAAACTCCAGATTTATGTTAAAACCAGGAGAGGGGAGTTATACAAAAAGAATTGATTCTTTATCAAGAAACTAGAGTTGCAAAAGGAGTTCATATCTACTATCATTCCTATGATTTTTTTGCATTGAAGTTTTCTCTCTGCTCTTGAAGAAGTAATTATATCTTTAACTATTTCTTCAGTGATCATGGAGGTGCGGGATCTGTGTTTTCTGGTGACAAGAGCTATGACGAACCTGCTTGGGGAACATTCGATATGAATGATGATATTGACTCTGTTTGGGGCTTCAACGCTGGAGGTTCCACTAAGGTAAGCGTTAAACTGTACATTATAATTGACGAATCAATTAGCACAAATGCTTTTCACTTTATCCTATAAATATTTTTCCCCTTGAACTTCCCTCCTGATGCATTCAGTTCCTTATACTTGGGAAGTAGGAAACATGGATGCTCTATTTATGTCTTGAGTATTTGTGTTGGACACACGTGTATGGACAGAACACATGCCCAACAAGCAAAAAAAAAGTCGTTTTTTTTCCTTTTCAATTCCGGACACATGGACATGTTCCTCCGAAAAAAGAGAGAAGGTTACACGCTGATGTGGCAACCACTAACAAGTATGAAAAACGAGCCGATATATACGCAATGACCCAGCCATAAACAAACCAATTGAATGGTTGCTGCAATTGCAGCCCTTAAAAAATTATTCAATTATAATTTTTTTGTGTTCTAGTTTTTTGTTACATTTATGTGATATATCTATTATGAATTGTTAAATGTATCAATATATTCACACATTATATACCTTTGTACTTGAAAATTTCAATTATTTAATAAGTATGCTATTTTTGTATGGTGATTCTGAGATCTTGTTTAGATCTGCTTGCTGCTAATGTTCATTTCCTTCAGCGTTTTGTTCGTTAAGCTGTTAGTGAGACCTGCTGATACATATATTTAATTTTTCCTTTTACTTTTTGTAGACTGACAATGATGTTATCCAAGACAACTATTTTTTCGATTCTGGGGACTTGGGCTTGAATCCTATAAGAACAGAACCATTCCAAGCCAAGAGAAGTACATTTGCGTTCGATGAGTCTGTTCCTAGCACCCCACTCTTCAACTCGGGCAATTCTCCGAACAGTTACCACGAGGGATCAGAACCAAGTTTTGAGAGCTTCTCAAGGTTTGATTCTTCCAGTGTGCATGAAGGTGGTTTCCCTCCACGAGATACATTTGCACGATTCGACTCGATGCACAGCAGTAGAGACTTCGACCAGGGCCCTGGATTCTCATCATTTGGTCAGTTTGATACATCACGCAGCAGTAGAGACTTTGACCAGGGTGGATCCTCATTGACGCGATTCGATTCAATGCGCAGCAGTAAAGACTTTGATCAGGAATTCCCTTCATTGTCACGGTTCGATTCGATGCGCAGCAGCAAAGATTTTGATCAAGGCCATGGATTTCCATCATTCGATGATGCAGACTTTGGATCGACAGGGCCGTTTCAGGCATCCCTGGATAATCAAACTCCAAAGAAAGGATCAGATAACTGGAGTGCATTTTAGCCAGGTTTGCATTGCTCCTTTTACATATGATATATTTTGTCTAAAGCCTTCTAGAACGCGGTTTAAGCTTGGGATAATATGAAATTATTTGAGATGTAGGTTTGTCCTCAGTGTGCTCCATCTTTGCCTCAGGTTGATGCTTGTGATGTATTTTTTCTGTTCACCTTTGTGTATTCAATTTTTTTTTTTTTGTTTTTTATATAAATTTTAAATTCATTTGTATGTTCTTTTTAAGAGAATCCTATGCACAGCTTATTGGCGTGATAAATTTGATTAATTTGCAGTGTTATTACCTGTTGGAACTATGACCCCACTGAGCCTTGAGGCTGCTGGACTTGCTTTTGTATGTGACCTTTTTGATTCTTTAGAGGAGTTATTATTATTTTCTTAAAATCTTCATTGGATGGGATCTTTGCCCTATACAATATTTCATCATAATGGTGAAATTGTTTCATATCAAAATGATGGAAAATGATGGAATGTGCTGTTATGAGTCTCAATTCATGCTAATTTCATATTATTAAACGAGTTTTTGTCTTGGATGAACTGTCATTGCTGCCAAATGGATTTATCTATAATTATAGAGAAGATTAGAGTAGATTAACCTATGAACAGGGTATTTGAAATTGTATCAATCTTTCTTTTCACATCAACGTGTGTTCGGACTACCTTGTGTGCACCTCGATAATTGTCCGATCCTACTACATTTAGTTGACCCAGAAACACGTTAGATATTAAATCTTAATAAAAGTAAAGGTAGCCACCATAGATTCTATACCAAACTTTCTATGGTTTTAAAAATACGATTGTTTTTATCGACCTAACTTAAACCCATGAACAAAAAAAAAAGAAAGAATTCCCTGAAAATTATGGCCAAAAAGTTATATTAAAATCAAAAGGGTCGAAATACAAGAGATGAGTGCAAGTGCACCAATATTCATTCTTACCAATGCATTTCAAAAACTCACATCAAAAGGCTTCACATTTATAAATCTATACTCTCTGGATGCCTAAAGGCAAAAACATCCTTGTTTTTTCCTCCTCTTTTACTTCATCTCCTTCCTCTAACCTGCTACCCTACTACCTACCATCGTGAAGAACGATGGGAAGCAATACCACACCGGTTGGTAATGGTTGATAAGTCATCTCTATGTCGTATCTTAATACACGCCAAAGTAAGCTTGGTACAGTGGTAGTAGTCATGTACCATCAACCAATATTGTTGAAACTAATTGTGTTCATAAAACTAAAAAGATTATAAAAAAAATCTCACTAGTAAAACATAAATTTAACCTCAACATAACTCAACTGATTAAATCATATAATTGGCCAAAACGTCAAATGCACTACTTTGCTTTTCAATTGATATTGTTGGTGTTGTTTTCTCACAAGGTAAATATCCTTGAAGCTTCCTCTTCCTGAAAATTTCTTGCCATTGCAAGAATACAAATTCTTCCTTAGAAGAAGGCATGTAGATGCAATCAAATGTTCTTGAACTGTTTGATTATCTCATCATTTTAGCTAGCTTCCGGAACCAGTATGATATCAAACATAAATTCAACTACAACAAAAGAGGATCAAGAATCAAGCCATTTTGCATATGTCAAAATGCAGCATATCAATACAGTTCATACATCATAACTTAATCCAAGCACCAAATGGATGCAAAAGCAACAAAATTTTAGCTCTACCCCACTGACAACAGATAGACCACTTGATGGCCAAACTAAGCAAATCTTTTAGACATTAGGTTTAATATACTGTTTATTTAATATTTGTGATTCGTTTGGTCAGTGTGTATGCACCTCAACTCGATTCGATTCTTTTCATGGGACAACTATATGACCCTATACATGATATTTAATATACTTGTCAGGGATTGAGGTGAAAGTGCACAACGATTAAACTGAAGAAAGTATGAGGCAAATTTTAAAATCTGTTTAACTTGAGAAGAAAAGATTTTAAATCAAACAAAAGCCATTAAAGAAAAGCAAGGCAGGATTTGCCTCTGTAATGGTAAGTGAATACTTGAAAGCCAGGACCAGGCAACTAATTCAAGTTCAAGATAGTGCTTCTTTGTGGCAGACTTGTTCCTTTGACTTATTGTGAAAACTTTGGCTTGAGAGGAACATCAGAATTTTTAGGGAGGTCGATGGATTGTGGGAGGAAGATTGGGGCGTAGCTAGGTTTAGTTCATCCTTGTTGGTGTCTATTACCGGCCTTAATTAGGTGTGCCGTCCCAAGGGGGGTGGATTGTGAGATCCCATATCGGTTGGAGAGGGGAACAAATCATTCCTTAAAAGAGTGTGGAAATCTCTCCCTAGTAGACGTGTTTTAAAAACCTTGAGGGGAGGCCCGAAAGGGTAAGCCCAAAGAGGACAATATCTGCTAATGGTAGGCTTGGGTTGTTACAATTCGCTCGGATTGAAGTCCTTTAGTGGGTTCTTTTTGTATGCTTACATTCTTCCATTTTTTTTCCCCATAAAAACTAAATTTCTTACCAACAAATGTATACACTAAATGGCCTCTTTGATTCACAAATTTGATATTTCTAAACTTACAGATTACACATTCATCACTAAAGTTCATAATACGATGTGCCGAAAGAAAGTAGTCACCTACTAACCTTCCTCTTTCCGAATGTTTGGTTGATCAACCAAAAGTTGCTGTAAGGAACTGAGATCTTGGGCACTATGATTCCTAACAATTCAAGATGCACATTTTTTCAGAGGGAAACAAATGGACCATAAATAATAACATAATTTGGAGGCAGAAAACTATCAAAAGCAATGGGATAAAGTTACCTGGGTTTCCAGAAAAGTTGTGGAAGTGCTGAGACCATAGATTCTTTAAGATAGTACCTAAAGAGATTGAAACAAGTTCATTAAGAAGCCAAATACACATCCAGTAAAAAACTTGCTTTCATGATCAGAAAAATTCTTACTCAGAGCGGTGCATGTCACATAGAAGCCTTAACCCGTTCAAGCAATCTTCAAGACTCGGTTTTAATCCAACTCTTTGTTGCAGCTGTTTTGTTGATGGCTGATTCGAACCACCTTTGATTAATTGCTTCCCATCACGATAAATCTTCTCCATTGAACGAACAATATTCCCAAGTTCTTCCCTGAGAAAATTATTCAGATTCTTTCACTGATGTAAACAAGACAGCAAAAACGTTTGTCGAACTGTTTGGACAAATTTCATGATTGTCATTTTCTTGTTCAATGACATGAACTTCTAACATCTTGATTGAGAATATATGTTTTAATCAATTGAGCTATGTATAAGTTGAAAATTTCGTAATGGTCTGGTTCTTTCCAACATATCCTAGGAACCACACTCGGAAGCAAGAAAAGAAATTGAAACAAAAACAAAAACAAACTTGCATTGTTTTTATAATAGACGAGAAAACGAGTTGCAGCGATTCCATCTGCTTAGCCAATAGCGCATCTACAATGCCATCCATGCCAGACAGACTGCCATAGTTGTTAGGATCTTGAAGCACCTGACAATAATTTTTCAAAGATTCTAATTTTGAAACTGAAAACAAAAATTATTTATCAGCATAATAAAATGAGAATTGAGGCTGACCTGCAACCTCCCAATGATGGAGGAAGCGTTCGTGAACTGTGAAATCAAGCGAACTTGAAGCTCGTCCCAGTGATCCATTTCATCTTTGAACTTTCTGAATCTTTGCTGATACTTTTTCACCATGGCCTCCATTGATTGGAATTTTAGGGTACTTTGATAATGCCTGCAAGTTTCATTTAACTTAACACGAGTCCAGCAACAAGTTGTACCCTTAACTCTAAACAGAAACCAAACTAAAATTCTTCAAGATGCTTATTCACAACATACAAATAACAAAATAATGCATAAGACATTTCTCAATATGAACATCACATTCATGCACACTGTAACTCTTTGTAACGATACGCGTTCCAGAAAAAAAAAAAAAAAAAAAAAGGAAACGCCGGAAATCTCGCGATTTCTGGCGAAGTCTGCGACGTACTATTTCCCTGAGTCCCCACATTAAACCCTAAGGTATCTAAGTAGCCGTCCTGAGTCGTTGTTGTACCTGTGAGAGAGGAGCAGAAAGAGTGATGTGGGGAATCGATAACGCCGCGAGGCTTCGGATCTTTGTGAGTTCTTAGGTAGCAGGGAACCAACGCCGGGGTACTTCGTAACAAGAGGGACAGACGCACCGTCAAGGACGGACGGACGACGACGGTCTCATCGGCAACAGTAGTCGGGTTCCGCGATTAGGGCTCGTCGGGACTCCTCGAGTGAGTAAGACAGAGCAGCAGATCGCGGGTCGGTTCTTCGGGTATCCCGCGAGCTCGCCTCAGCCAACGTACGGCCCGGACACCGACTCTGGACCGCGTATCCATCCCGGCCCAAGACCAGCGCCACCAGCCCGCGTCCAGAAGCCGTGCGCCGCCAGTGACCTTCTCGGCTCCTCGGCTCGATACTCCGGCTTCGTCGGCGGCTCCGTTGTATTCCGCGGCTCGGCTCAGCGGCTCGTTATAAAAATAATATACCGTTTTGTATGTTTTTGACTCTGTAGTTATTCTCGCCCTTGTTTCAACCATCTGAGGTCAGTGTAACTCCACTCTAAAACACAGGTTATGATAGGAACATACTTGATAGTTACGTATAAGTTGTGAAAGGAAAAACCCAAAGAAAACAATATAGGAACCTACTTAATAGTTGGACATAAGCTGTGAAAGGGAAAGTCGGGTTTGGACAATTACAAATAATATCAGAGCTACATACCAGGCTGTGTGCCAACGAGAACGCTAAGTCCCCAACGACTAACTGTAGGTTTGGATAGTTATAAATAATATCAGAGCTAAATATCAGGTGGTGTGTCAGCGAAAACACTGGGTCCCCAACGACTAACTGTGGGATTGAACAATTACATATCAAAGCTAGATATCAGACGGTTGCCAGCGAGGACGATGGGTCCCTCCCCAGATTGTGTGGAACCTCTCCCCACTTAGGGTTATTCCTCCACACAAGCAGCTGAGTGGAATCCCAACTTACCGAGTTGCTCATTGATTGTGCCACAGTATCGTATACTATATTGGAAAGTACCACCACAAAGCTCAGTGCCCACTTCCCTTCATCTTCAAGCTTCTTGCTCTTTAGCATCTTTTCTGCTTTCTTCTTCTTCTTCTTCGTTTAACTTCGTCTGTTCTTTATTATTCTTTTTTTTTTTAACACTTTTCATTATAGAAAAGGCCTTGTACTAATAGAGACGATTCTGATTGTTTGTGCCCGTTCCCTTGTTGGGAACTATCTTTTTTGTAACAGCCCATCGCTAGCAGATATTATTCGCTTTAGCTCGTTACGTATCGCCGTCAGCTTTATAGTTTTTAAAACGCGTCTACTAGGGAGAGATTTTCACACTCTTGTAAGTAATGTTTTGTTCCCTTCTCCAACTAATGTGTGATCTCACAATCCACCCCTCTTGGAGGCCTAGCGTCCTTGTTGGTACACCGCCCGATATTTGACTCTGATTCCATTTGTAACAGCCCAAACTCACCACTAGTATATATTGTCTACTTTGGCCCGTTATGTATCGCCGTTAGCTTCACGGCTTTTTAAACGCGCATGCTAAGAAGAGATTTCCACACCTTAATTCGTTCCACTCTCCACCAATGTGGGATCTCACAATCCACCCCCCTTGAGTCCTAAGCGCCCTCACTAGCATACTGCCCAATGTTTGACTCTAATACCATTTGTAACAGCCTAAGCCCATCACTATTAGAAATTGTCTGCTTTAGCCTGTTACGTATACCGTCAGCCTCACGGTTTTTAAAACGTGTATGCTAGAAGAGGTTTCCACACCATTATAAAAAATGTTTCGTTCCTCTCTCTCATTTCAACAGGGAGCAGAAGCCTAGACTTTAAGCATACATACTTGTGAACATCTGAATATGCTTGTTATTATTAAAAGAAAGGCATATGCTTTTCTTTTCCTTATAAGTGGTCTCATTTCCTCAGGTGTTCGGGTACTACATCTTGCATTTTCTTTATTGTGGGATGTTCATTACTCCTCCAATCTCATATGCTATACTTTGTTGATTCATTCTGACATAGAAAGCTTAATTCTGAGCTTAATCTATCTTTATGAACATGGTTTGGCTCCTTTTATTACTCCTTTATATCTCAGAAGGGAGCTCAGGACATGAGGTAGTGAAAGTTGGAGCTATATTTTCACTTACTTCTGTCAATGGGAAAGTGTCCAAGATAGCCATAGAGGCTGCTGAGAGAGACGTGAATGCTGATCCAAGTGTTCTTGGTGGAAGAAAGTTATCCATATCCATTCATGATGCTAATTACAGTGGTTTTCTTGGTATCACAGGAGGTATAACTCTGCCCAACTCAAGGCCAGTACGTTGTTCTTTCTTGTTCGTGGATTTGATTCTTGTCATTTGGGTCTTTTATTGAATTTCCCACTTTGATCCATTTTGATCACTAATCATGGTTAAAGAATAACTACGTTACCCATGCCCAAAGAGAAACATAGAAATGAGCAAACCACCCGTGTTTCACGCTGGGTCTCGTAGGAGGGTGGACTGTGGGATCCCACATCGATTAGAGAGGAGAATGAGTGCTAGCAAGGATGCTGGATCATAAAGGGGGTGGATTGTAAGATCTCACATCAATTGAAAAGGGGACTGAGTGTTAGTAAGTGTGAGCAAGGACGCTGGGCCTTGAAAAGGGTGGGTTATGAAATCCTACATCGGCCAGAGAGAACAACAAAACATTATTTATAAGGGTGTGAAAACTTCTCACTAGTAGACGTGTTTTAAAAGAGAAAACCCGAAAGAGAAAGCCCAAAAAGGACAATATCTGTTAATGGTAAGTTTAAGATACCTGTGTTTAGCAAAATGGAAGTCAAACACCTCAAGAAAACTTTTGATCGTCTCGATAGATTTCTAAGACTTTTGTTGCATAATCACTTTTGAAGAGTCATGGGATCAAAATAAACGGTTGAAACTACAAGAACTAAAATGAATACACGTTGAAAGTATGAGAACCAAAATGAACATTTTGGCGAACTGAGTAATTTTCTTTCTTTGTTCATCACAGCAATGAAGTACATGACGTCTGGCACAGTTGCCATCATCGGTCCTCAAGATGCTACAATGGCACAGATACTCTCACATCTTTCAAATGAACTCCATGTCCCATTATTATCATACACAGCCTTGGACCCAGCACTTGCGACTTCGCAGTATCCATACTTCATTCAAACAGCTCCAAATGATCAGTTCCAAATGGCTGCAATTACAGACATTATCGGTTATTATGATTGGCACGACATAGTCGTTGTTTACACCGACGATGATCACTGTCGAAACGGTATGGTTGCATTAGGAGATAAACTTGAAGAGAGAGGGTTAAAAATTTCCTCTAAAGTGGCACTTCCCCCTTACCCAACAGCAACTAGAACAGATGTTCGAGATGCACTTCTAAAGATAAAAACGATGGAATCTCGAGTGATCGTATTGCACACATTCTCGAAAACAGGTTTCTTGGTTTTTGAAGTGGCTCAAAGCCTTGGAATGATGGAGGCTGGATTTGTGTGGATAGCTTCTAGTTGGTTGTCAACAGTAATAGATTCTTATTCACCACTTCCCTTGAAAACTACCAACTCCATCCAAGGAGTTCTTACGCTTCGACTGTACACACCGAGTTCCAAAAGGAAGCGATCTTTTATATCTCGTTGGAACAAGCTGAGTAATGGCTCGGTTGGGTTGAATGCATACAGCCTATATGCATATGATACTGTTTGGATGATTGCAAAAGGATTAAAAGAGTTATTTGATCAAAATGGCACCATTTCCTTCTCCAAAGATGAACGTGTTGGCAGTCTTAGTGGAGAGAGCTTGGATTTTAGCTCACTAGGAATCTTTAATGAAGGAAAGGAACTGCTTAACAATGTATTGAACATCAGCATGACTGGTCTGACAGGGCCTATTCAGTTTCTAGATAGATACCCTTTACATCCTTCATATGATATCTTAAATGTTGTGAAATCTGGTATGAAGAGAATTGGGTATTGGTCCAACTATTCCGGGTTATCTATCGTGACACCAGAAACGTTGTATGAACGATCAGCCAATCATTCTACATCGTCCCAACAGTTAAGCAGCATAGTGTGGCCTGGGGGATCGAGAATAAAGCCTCGTGGTTGGGTTCTACCACTCGATGGAAGGCGGTTAAGAATCGGCGTTCCACATAGAGTTAGTTATCAGGAATTTGTGACACCGGGTAATGGTAATGGCACAATCAGAGGATACTGCATAGATGTGTTCACTGCTGCCATAAACTTGCTTCCATATGCAGTGAATTATGAGTTTGTTTTGTTTGGAGATGGTGAGAAGAATCCTAGCTACTTTGAGCTTGTAAATAATGTTGCATTGAAAGTAAGTAGACTTTCAATGGGCTTTTTGGCTTGTTCTTTTGTAGTGGCAAGAATGTAGACTCTACTGAATGAGGGATACTACCTTTGTAGGAATTTGATGCTGCTGTTGGTGACTTTGCTATTGTGACTAGTCGGACAAAGGTTGTCGACTTTACGCAGCCTTATATCGACTCGGGGTTGGTCGTTATGGTCCTTGTCAAGAAGTTGAATTCAAGTCCTTTGGCATTCCTTCGCCCATTCACACCAATGATGTGGATTGCCACAGCAGCCTTTTTCCTCCTCATTGGATTAGTCGTGTGGATTTTGGAACATCGAAAAAACAATGAATTCCGCGGACATCCCAGGACGCAACTTGTCACGATCCTCTGGTGAGTACTTGATCTGAACAAAGAAGAAAATATTACATTAGATATATGTTTGTGCAATGATACTTGAGATGACCATGTTGAAAAAACATTCGTTAACTCTACGATTGACATCAACTTAAATGAAACGTTCGAGAAATAATGCCCGTGTTGGAAGGACAGTCGTATACTTGAGAAATAACGAAATAGCGTTTTGTCTCCTCTATACCCTGTCCCAATTTAGCAATGTGACTATAGGTTAACTATAGTTCTTTTTCGAGTTAAAGAATCGCTCAGGTCACATCGCTATAGTCAATCCAATATGCAGCTTGTTCTTCAATCATGGAACATTTCTCATCTTAGTATTTCTTGCCTTGTCATGCAGGTTTGGCTTCTCTACAATGTTTTTTTCACATAGTAAGTCTTTTACTTGAAGATTCATGCTTCTTACCTTACTATCAAGTATTTTTCATAGCCTCCCAAGAGCTACAAAGTTTTGAATATTCTCATTTTCAGGAGAAAACGTCGTGAGCACGCTCGGACGTTGTGTGCTTGTCATCTGGCTTTTCGTGGTTCTAATTATCAATTCGAGCTACACCGCTAGTCTAACATCCATATTCACAGTACAACAACTATCCTCACCTATCACAGGAATTGATTCATTGATATCTAGCCATGTACCTATAGGATTCCAAGTTGGTTCATTTGCTGAAAGTTACTTAAGTGAGCAACTTAACGTCCAAAAGTCTAGGCTAATTGCTCTTGGATCCCCAAAGGAGTATGCTGCTGCCCTAAAAAACGGAACGGTTGGAGCTATTGTCGACGAACAACCATACATCGACCTCTTTCTCACAGAGTACTGCGATTTTTCAATTAGGGGCCAACAGTTCACCAAAAGTGGATGGGGATTTGTAAGTATATCAAGACATAACTTCACAGTTTTCATCAATTTTCCTCTATGAATTCTGCTTATTAAGGCTCTTGTTTGGCAACTATGCTCCTTTTGAATGCTATTTAGTTTATCGTTCATACTTCTACCTATAAGTTTCTTATCTACTTTCTATCAATATTTTAAAACTAAAAAAAATTGTTCTCATAACTTGTTTTTGTTCTTGGAATTTGGCTCAGGATTCAAATACTTTATCAAGAAAGATGAAAAATATTGTAAGGAATTAGATGTTTGCTGCAGCAAATTTGAATATCATAGATCTTACCATATTTTTCTGCATTTTTGATAGGCATTTCCACGAGACTCTCCATTAGCAGTCGACTTATCGACCGCCATACTAACTCTATCAGAGAGCGGCCGCCTTCAAAAGCTTCACGATAAGTGGTTCTCAAGAAAGTCTTGCAGTTCTGGAGAATCTGATTTAGAACAGCTTCAGTTACAGAGTTTCATCGGTCTGTTCTCCATTTGTGCCGGCGTATGTTTACTCGCTCTTCTGCTTCACTTTTTCTTGACGATTTGCCAATTCAACCGCCAGTTGAAACGAGATCCAGAAGCTTCGCCGTCGACCAGCGGCAGTTCTACTTCTACCCCTACGCGTCTGCGGAAATTCTTGGCGTTTGCAGACAAAAAGAAGAATCGAAAGACGAGATATTCGAAAAGAAAGATCGAAGATAATAATGCATTTCCGAGTGAACGTCGACAAGATTTTGTAAATTGAGTTCCATTGGATCAAGGCTTCACCCAACGTTTTCTGTTCTGTTGTGTGGTTTTTTTTTTTTTTTTTTTTTTTTTCCTTATAATGAATATGACAAAAGTCATTTTATTTTCTCCCATTAATATATATATATATATATATATATATATATATATATATATATATATATATATACAAATTGAAAAAGATAATTTCTTCAAAAATACTCATAATTTATTAATACTATTTTTTTTTAAAAATTTAAATATTGATTAGAATTTTCAAAATTTTCATTAATAATTTTAATTTTTAAAAAAAGTAAAATATTTTAATGTTATCCCATTTTTAAAATACTTTAAAATTTTAAAAATAGTATTAATATCTCACCTTTAAAAAAAATTGATTTTTTTAATAAGGATGAAAATAATTAAAATTGTTTATTTACTGTCACCTATCATCAACCAATTAGATTCTTATTTATTTTTTTTCATTTTTAAAATTCTAAACATTTTTTCTTTTAGCATTTTTTATTTTTTTTTTAAATATTAAAACTTTCAATTTAAAAAATCTATATTTTTTTTTATTTTTTTAAATATTAAATTTTTAAATTTTAAAAATCTCATTTTTTAAATATTTTTTTCTCCCACAATGGTATGATATTGTCCACGACAGTGACTTTGTCATGATATCAGCAAGTTGATCCTTAGAAGATATGAGTCACATATCAAGTTGACGGGTTGATACTCGTTCACGAACGAAGTGATATTAAATGAATATGACTCTTCACAATGGTACGTTATTGTCCACTTTAAATATAAGCTCTCCTAACTTTGTTATTCAAAAAAAAAAAAAAAACTTAATTTTGAATTTTATTTTTAGTCTGGTCCTTCATTTTATATAAACTCGAGGCGAATATATTAAATTTTATTTATCTTTAAAAATTTAATATATATAGAAAGTAAGAATTATATAATATATATATTCCTTCCTAAAATAATAAATGTAGGGGGAGAAATTTTGGAAATTGATAATGAAAGATTGAAGAAATTCAAGAAAGTCAAATTTGAATTTTATTACAAAGATTTGTAGAAGTATGTGGTCTGAAAACAACCCATGAACAGCAATGCCCGCCGAACGTCCATAGGCGACCTCTCAAGTTTCTTGGAATTGGGCTTCGTAAACAGCAACCCAGCCATGCCACAGAGGGCCCATTTAGAGAACGCAAGGCGGAATATGTTCGTCGTCGTCTAAGTCGAGGACAGAGTGTCACAATTATTCCAAACTTTTTGGGCCATGTATTTTCCAATCGCGAACGTGGCTATATCCACATCAATGAAGAAAAAGGTAAAACAACGAAACATTTCCCAAAACCCTTTACTTACCCAGTTGTGATCTTCATAACAAACCAGCCGCGCAGGGTAGAAAACAGGAATTTCAATCAAATTCATTGATGGGTGTCTCTGAAAAAGCACGAACAGGAACTGGTTTGGAAGTAAGAATCTAGAACAAGAAGAAGGGTTTTGAGAGAGAGAGATGAGAGAGGTTGAAGGAAGAAGGCTATGCCAGGAGTTTTCAGCTGGGTATTATGGCCTTTGTACTGTTGGGGGAATGCTCAGTGCTGGGGCTACCCATCTTGCTCTTACGCCTCTTGATGTCTTGAAGGTTAATATGCAGGTATTTCTTGGTTTTGGTTGTATAATGTTCATTATGTTCTTATGAGGTTGCTTTCATTGTCCTTGCTGCTCTGTTCCTTCATGAATGGTTTAGTTGAAATGTTTATAGTTTATGAGTCTTGTGAGCTGTTTGTGACTAGTTTTAGTATGAGACTGAGGGAGTATGAAAGGAATTTTGAGCTATGTTTTTGAAAATTATGCTTAGGATTTCACCTTTCTTAAAGAAACGATTTGATTCGTAGTCAAAACGGTTCGATTCTTAGTCGAATTCCAAAAACAAAAACAAGTTCTGAAGAACTTAAAACTTAACCATTTGGTTTTTTAAAATTAAACTTATAAATATAACTTCCACTTATAAGTTCGTTCGTTTGTTATCGACCTTTTACCTGTGTTTTGAAAGATGAAGCGAAGTTTTGAACATGAAACAATAGTGTTATCAAACGAGATATATATATATAGTGTTAGGAATTAGGGATCTCCACAATGGTATACTATTGTCCACTCTGAGCATAAGCTCTCGTGGCTTTACTTTGAGCTTCCCCAAAAGGCGTCATACCAATGGAGATGTATTCCTTACCTATAAACCCATGATCATTCCCTAAATTAGCAATGTGGGACTCCCTCCCAACAATCCTCCCCTTAAACAAAGTACACCATAGAGCCTCCCCTGAGGCCTATAGAGCCCTCGAACAGTCTTCCCTTAATTGAGACTTGATTCCTTTCCTTTCTTTGGAGCCTTCGAACAAAGTACACCCTCGAGGCCCACAACTTCTTTGTTTGACATTTGAGGACTCTATTGACATGGCTAAGTTAAGGGCATGATTTTGATACAATGCTAGGGATCACGACTCTCCACAATGATATGATATTGTCCACTTTGAGCATAAGCTCTCATGACTTTGCTTTGGGCTTCCCCAAAAGGCCTCATACCAATGGAGGTGTATTCCTTACTTATAAATCCATGATCATTCCCTAAATTAGCGAATGCGGGACTCCCTCCCACTCAACATATAGTTCATTATTTTCAGAAGCTAATATTTGTACATCTCATGGAAACAAGAATCGACAATAAAACTAATCTTACGAGTTCGTTTTCTACCGTAGGTGAATCCTATTAAGTACAATGGCATTTCTTCTGGTTTTTCGGTTCTTTGGAGGGAACAAGGTCCTTCATCCCTTTGGAGAGGTTGGTCAGGCAAGTTATTCGGATATGGCGTTCAAGGCGGGTTCAAATTCGGTCTCTACGAATACTTCAAGAAGTCTTACTCTGATTTGTTGGAAGGCCACAGCAGAAGTTCCATATACTTTCTCAGTAGTGCTTCTGCTCAATTCTTTGCTGATGTTGCTCTCTGCCCTTTTGAAGCTGTCAAGGTCAGAGTCCAAACACAGCCCTATTATGCCAAGGGATTGGCTGATGGCTTTCCAAAGCTATACTACAGTGAAGGTCTTTCTGGGTAAGCAATGGCTACAAACAAAAGGAATACATCATCTCTTTATCGTCTTTTATGTCTTCAATATCTTCGTTGATATCGATCTTTTATTGCAGTTTCTACCGAGGGCTTTTTCCACTTTGGGGACGAAATCTTCCATGTAACGTCTCTAACTCGTTGCATTTTCTAGCTGTGATATCTATTCATTTCGAAAACGGAAAATTGAATATCGTTATCAAATAGGGCCTTAAGTTGTGAACTTCTAAAGCGTAATTGTTTCTCATTGATAATATTATCATTTGTAATTGTCTTCAACAGTCTCCATGGTTATGTTCTCGACATTTGAGCATTCGGTGGACTTCATATATCGAAAGATCATTCGGCGTAGAAAGGAAGATTGCTCGAGAACACAACAGCTCGGTGTTACATGTTTGGCTGGCTATGCAGCTGGAGCTGTTAGTACTATTGTCTCGAATCCAGCTGATAACATTGTTTCCTCTCTTTATAATAAAAAGGCTGATAGTATAGTGCAGGTACTCCTGCTGCTCTCTTACTCTCTCTTATTAAGTATGCCTAGTTATTGAGAAAATCGTACCGTAGGTCCCTCGCTAAGAAGAAATGTGGCGCTCTTAATGAAGCATGCACCCTAAGTTAAAAGAAAGAACCTAAGTAGATATTGTCATTTTTGAGCTTTTCCTTTCGGACTTCCCCTCAAGGTTTTAAAACGTGACTACTGGGAAGAGGTTTCCACACCCTTATAAAAAATGCTTCGTTACCCTCCTTAACTGATGTGGGATCTCACAATTCACCTCCCTTAGGATCCAGCGTCCTTGCTGACACACCGCCCAGTGTCCGACTCTGAAACCTTTTGTAACAGCCCAAACCTACTGTTAGCAGATATTGTCTTCTTTGAGATTTCCCTTTCGGGCTTCCTCTTAAGGTTTTAAAATGCGTCTACTATAGAGAGATTTCCACACCCTTATAAGAAATGTTTCGTTCCCTTCTCCAACCAATGTGAGATCTCACAATCCACCCCTCTTGGACGCCCAACATCCTTGCTGCCCACTGCCTGGAGTCTGACTCTGATATCATTTGTAACCGCCCAATCCCACTAGCAGATATTGTCCTCTTTGGGCTTTCCCTTCCAAGCTCTCGAGGTTTAAAAACGTATCTATGGGGAGAAGTTTCTACACTCTTATAAGGAATGTTTTATTTCCCTCTCCAAACGACGTGAGCTAATTTATTTGCATATTTTTTCATATATATGTGTGTGTGTTTGGCTGGCACTTTAAGCTCCTAAGGAATATTGCAAACTAATGCTTTTAGAAGCTCTTGTACTCATGCTTTTAGCACTTGTCTAGAGATGAAGTAAAACTAAATGGTGTTTTTGTTTGGATATTCCTCTTGCAGGCAGTGAAGAACATAGGATTTGGCAATCTATTTACTAGAAGTCTCCCTGTCAGAATTGCACTTGTTGGTCCTCTTGTTACATCGCAGTGGTTCCTTTATGACACAATTAAAGTGCTAAGTGGACTGTAAGTATTTTTTTTCTTACATCGTATTCAATGTTTAGATATCGTAGGGTTAAGATGCATTAGAAGTGGAGACCGGGGATGAGAGGGAGAGAGTGTGAGATCCCACATCGATTGGAGAGGGGAACAAAGCATTCCTTATAAGGGTGTGGAAACCTCTCTATGTTAAGCGCGTTTTAAAACCTTGAGAGGAAATCCTTGAAGGGAAAGCTTGAAGAGAACAATATCTGTTAGCGGTGCGCTTGGGCTGTTATGAATGATAGTAGATCCAGTCACCGAACAGTGTGCCAGCGAAGACGTTGGGCCCCCACAGGGGTGGATTGTTAGATCCCACATCGGTTGGAGAGGGGAACGAAGCATTCCTTATAAAGGCGTGGTAATCTCTTCCTATCAGACACGTTTTAAAATCTTGAAGGGAAGCCCTGGAAGGGAAAGTCCAAAGAGGACAATATCTGCTAGCGGTGGGCTTGGGCGGTTATAGAGAGTGATCACAGAGAGGCATATGAGTTAAGGAAGAGTGATTATGAGCCCTTTTGTAACATAATAACACCTGATCAACATTCTTTTAAAATGAATGAATCTACGAGACATTTGAACTTTTATATCTAATAAGGTATTAAAATTTCGATTTTGAGTCCAATAGATTCATCAATTAAAATAATGTTAGAATAGGTGTAATACCTATTCTATACAAATTTGCAAGCTCACGGACTTATTAGAAATAAAGTACTTGTTTTAAAAGTTGCTATATGACCTTTGACCTTTCATAAACGTTTCAAAATTACTTTTAGAGTATAAGAACCTTAGAATGTCAGGCGAAAAGTCAACATGTTTGATGTCTTGCTTTCATACTTAATCTATGCAAGCATCCCAGTCGTTCTAACGAGTTTCTATTCTAAGGGTAGTTTTGAAACGTTTATGAAAGGTCAAGGGTATTATTGCAACCTTTGAAGCAATAAAAGTACTTTAAAAAAACGAGTTTGTTGGGGACGATTTGGTAAAATGCCTAGTTCTACCAACTCTATTATTTTTCTTTTATAATTTAGGCCTACAAGTGGAGGGGTCAACAGGCAATTGGAAGAAGCTTAGCCATCAACCTTGTTGGAGCTTTCTGGTGAAGGGCACATCAGATGAATTCAATAAAAAACATGGTAAATTTTACTTTTACCTCTTATTTCCATTTAGATAAATTAAAATTTACTAAAATTTCGTTAATTTTATCGTAATAAATCTTTAGATATATGTATATATTAGAATAACGGGTTTTTGTTGCAATGACAATATCACGAAATTTATTTTTATTGTTCTTTTTTCGTGTTCATCATGTGAGGTGAAGAGATTTGGACCTCATTGGTCGATGGTATAGGTCGAGTTATACCATTTGTTGTATAAATTCAAGGAAGAGTTCATACATTATATGCATTAGAATGTTGTATTCATGTTAACGTATATCATATTTAACCATTATGGGTTGGCTTAGTAGTCGATCATAAGAGCCTTGAATAATAAGAGGAGAGGAAATGGATACCGTTCACGTTGACTTGGATACCCATACATATTTAAAAAAAAAATGTTATTGTGGGTTGTAATTGGTTGTCGAAAGAAATCATTGTGCTATCAAAAGATGTGCAATCATGTTATCTAGAAGTTTCCATGTTCGAAAATTTTATTTGTTGGTGACCATACACTATTTTCTCTTTATTAGTTCTTATAGGCCGCGACGAACGAGAACTTATAGTTGAGAATCGACGAACTGGAAAAACAACTATAGCTATTGACCTTTGAGAGTGAGATATTGTATTGTGTCTATGTAGCTATCGGCCAGAAACGGTCGACTATGGCACAATTAGTTCAAATTCTTTGTTTTAGAAAATTTTGGTAATTAATTACTTATATAAATATTTTATCAATTAAAATACTATTTTTGATTTTATTTCAATTATGTAAGTCTAAATTAATAAATAAAAGAAAAGAATTTTTTAACTTCGTTCCGTGTTTCAGAATTATATTTAGAGTAGAATTTTGTCTCGTGTTTCACAACGATGAAATTAGAATATTTAGATTAAATTTTTATAAATGAGAATGCTTTGATTTTTTGGTCAAAATTCTAAATGATTTTTTCTTAAGATATTTTTGAAACTTCCACAATTTTTTTTTTAAATAATTGGGTATTTTTTTTAAAACAATGGGCAAATTTGTAAATATATTTTATATCTTATTATATTTTTTTTATTAAAATTAGTTAAATAATAATAGTAATTTTTAATGTGATTCAAAAATTATAGAAAATTGTAATATATATTTTTAAATATAATAAATACTAAATTGGAAAAAATATGTATATATATACATATGAAAATTACCAAGCTTGGACATACTAAAAATAGTAAGGTTGAAGAAGAAAAATGGGATGGTAGTTACACGCGCCTCACGCGCCGATATGAAAGCTTAGATTTTATCCTCCCGAAACACCGGGCAATGGCTGGTTGATATTGACTCGACAGCACTGGAAATTTACAATTCGACAAGCGCTTTCCTAATGCGTGTGCTACACGGACCAATTATAATTAAGTTTAGATTTCCGAAAACAAATGGATAATTCTTTTCCATAACAGACAAAAATAAAATATTCTTTATAATATTCAAATTCAATTAAAATTTTGACAAAATTGTTATATTTTAATTTTTTTATTATTAACATGTAAATTACAACAAAAAAATTATTGTATCATAGTCAATTAAAATACTTTATTAGCTTTTAAAATATTTTAATTTTAAAATTTTATTATGTATTGGTTAAATATAGAAAGTTTAAGTCCGAGATTAGTAATAAATAAATGTATTTAATTAAAGACATTAGACTTAATTATTGTAAGGAAATTTAATTAAATAATTAATATTTATTACCGTTTTCAAATTTACCAACTAAATGCATTTTTTTATTACAAAAATATTTTAATAATATTGACTTTTTATTTTTTATTTAACAAAATTTTTAAAACTTCACTTCTAATATTTTACACGTGGTTTGAAATACTTATTTACATAAATACCCTTTTAATTTTTTTTTTTAATTCCAAAACTTTCAAAAATTAAAATTGAATCCCTTTGGATTAGAAACTCTCCCTACCCGTACCCGATAGTTATATGCTCAAAATCGTTGTTGCTGCCGCCTTTTTGCTTGCATCACATATAACACCAAATTCAATATTTCAAATTTTACTTTCAAAATTCTCTTTCGAAATTTCTCTACCCCCGTTTTTAGAACTTTCTTCTTAAATCAGGGTCAGAGGTTCAAGCATACGTCACTTAGCCGAAGGTGACGCAAGAACGAATCGACTTAACTCACTTGTTTGTTACTGGGAAGTGAGTGCCGCACAATCGCAAGTCCATTGTCATCCAAAGTGCGATGGTGACGAGTGATATCAAGAGTTATCCTCAAATAATATCCTAACTAATAATTATAAAACTAATAAAATTTAAATAAACATAAATTAGTTATAATTAAAATAAAAAACAGAATTTAAATTTATAATAAATAAATAAACCGTGAGCGCAGGTCAAAGGGATCTGTCCACACGCGTATTTACCAATTTATTTCTAAATTTATATAGACAAAATTAATATATATATATATATAATTAATTAATTAAAAATTAAAAAAAAAAAAAAAAGAGTAGCTGGTCAGCACTGACTTCCGATGTTTCTCAGCAGCAACCAACCAAGACCAAATAACAAATCGGACTTGGTCCCCGGTTTTTTATTTTACTATTATTAATAATTAATTATTTATTATTATTATTTTGTTTGCTTATATACACCTTCCCTGTTCTTTTTATATCTTTCATTTTTCCTGCTCAAATCATTTTCTCTCCACTGTTCATGGATTCCAGAACCACAACAACAATTCGGTACTTCTTCTTCGTCTTCTCTCTCTCCTTTTCTTTTGGATTTCGTATAATTTTTTTGTCATTTCTTTTTCCTTCTTCTTCTTCTTCAATTATTCTATTTCAGTTTTTTTTTTTTTTTTCCTTTTCTTTTTAGATTCTAAGCATATTTTTGAAGCTAACAGTGCGATTAATTGGTTTCCGATCTGGTTTGATTTGTGAAGAATTTCTGGAATCTCTAATTTTGTCAATTTAGGATTGATTTTTGTTTGTTTTGGTTAGGGTTTCGTGATTGATGAGACGTGATTGGTGAGTTTTGGGAGAGAGGGAGCGAGAGAGAAACAGAACTGAAGGGCGATTACGTGTTTCATGGGCAATACCTGCCGTGGATCTTTCAAAGGGAATATATTTCAGGGCTACAGCCAGCCCGAGGACAGCTCAACACTCTATTCTAAGCGCAATAACAGCAGTTCTTCAGCCCGATCGAATTCTGATATTTCCCCTACCAGTATAAACACTCACAATTTAATTGCACAAGAGTTTTCCAAAGAGAACAAGACGAAATCCAAGGATAACGATTACAATCAAGCCTTCTTAAGCCCCACCAAGAAAGACTTCACAATGAGGAAAAGCGCTGAGAATCAAGCCTATTATGTTTTGGGTCATAAGACTGCAAACATTCGAGATCTCTATACGCTCGGTCGGAAATTAGGACAGGGACAGTTTGGAACTACTTATTTGTGCACTGAGATTACCACTGGCATTGAGTATGCTTGTAAGTCTATCTCGAAGAGGAAGTTGATTGCGAAGGAGGATGTCGAGGACGTTCGACGGGAGATTCAGATCATGCACCATTTGGCAGGTCATAAGAATATTGTAACCATCAAGGGTGCTTATGAAGATTCTTTGTATGTTCATATTGTAATGGAGCTTTGTAGCGGCGGGGAGTTGTTCGACAGGATCATCCATAGGGGACATTACAGTGAGAGGAAAGCTGCTGAGTTAACCAGGATTATTGTCGGGGTTGTCGAGACTTGCCATTCGCTTGGAGTTATGCATAGAGATTTGAAGCCAGAGAATTTCTTGTTGGTTAACAAGGATGATGACTTCTCTCTTAAAGCTATTGATTTTGGCCTCTCTGTTTTCTTCAAACCAGGTGAAAAGAAAGTTCCGTAGTTATTCTATTTCCTTTTTGGTTTTATTGATGAATCAAAGGTCCTATTAGATGTATGGTTCGGCAATATTGATACTTAAACTGTGTTTATGGCATGTGTAGTAACCATTAATCCTCGTTAATCATCTGTGGCATATCAGATAAATCATATGATAATCCCCTCAATGAGTTAGAAAACAATTTTTATTGAAATATTCAGTTTCTTTAAGGAAAAGGATTGAGATTCCAGGAATTATCACATGCATTATGCAGAAAAAGAGAAGTAGGACTGCTGCAATAAATCAAAAGGAGGTAATTCCTGATCCTTTCCTAAAAGATTCTGAATATTTCAAAAGATTGATCATCTACGTTTCAATTATACAAAACGAGCTCACTTGACTTAGATTTTTTTTTCTTCCATTATCATTTGTTTAATCAATACATCGAATTCTTTTTCATTGCTAATATGCACAAAACAACTTCAGGTCAAATTTTCACTGATGTTGTTGGAAGCCCATACTATGTTGCTCCAGAGGTACTTCTTAAGCACTATGGACCGGCAGCGGACGTGTGGACTGCAGGAGTTATCTTGTATATATTGCTGAGTGGTGTGCCACCATTTTGGGCAGGTAATTGTAGTTTTTTCCAAATAAAAACACTACTAAGAACCTGAATTAGTTATTGCCTATTAGTTGAGGAACTGGGGTGTGGGGGTGGTAAGGGCACCCAGGTCCTCCTTGGTGTCAATCCTTCGCACAAATTGATTAACCATGAAACCTTTGATATATTTGATATCTCTGGAGGTAGAGTCAAGGGTCGATATCTCTCTAAGCTCTAGCGGGGTGTGGTCTAATACCATGGTTGTAGAAAAGGAAACTAATGAACAAGTTCTTATGTATGGTTGCTAAGTAGTTATTTTCTTCCTCTTCTCTACACTCAGAAACTCAACAAGGAATATTTGATGCTGTGCTGAAGGGACATATCGACTTCGACTCAGACCCTTGGCCCCTAATATCTGACAGTGCAAAGGATATTATCAGAAAGATGCTATGTTCTCGACCATCAGATCGTTTGACTGCTCATGAAGTATTATGTATGTATATTTTTCAACATTTCTTTAATCTTTATAAAAGTAAAATTTAAGGATTCCTTGAAAATCAGTCAGTCATTCACAACCACCAACCACTAGTGGTACTAACCACTAGTGAAGGTTTCCTTAAAAAGTTAAAGGATTAGTAATTCTTTTGAGAAATTGAATGGATTCCTTCTTTTTGCAAGGAAGGTAATAAAAAAAAGGAAAGAAGATGAGTTCTTCTTTACAAGTGTACTTATAGAATATTCTAAGTTTTATACGAGTCTGATTAAATTATTATACCTTCATAATCTGTACAGGTCATCCTTGGATTTGCGAAAATGGGGTTGCTCCTGATAGGGCTCTCGATCCTGCCGTACTTTCTCGACTCAAACAATTCTCTGCAATGAATAAGTTAAAGAAGATGGCATTACGAGTAAGTATACCAACAAGCCCTTTCACCTAGGTGGGATAGCTGAAATTCAACACCCAATTAAATGTTAGCAAGTTTGCATAGAATACCTACTATTAGAAAAGCTTAATGCAAGCTTTTGCACATTTTTGGCTTAAATGACTGATGTGTAAAATCTGCACGTTTGAACTGTTAGGTGATTGCTGAAAGCCTCTCTGAAGAGGAGATTGCTGGCCTTAGAGAAATGTTTACAGCTATGGACACTGATAACAGTGGCGCAATTACCTTTGATGAACTCAAAGCTGGTTTGAGAAGATATGGTTCGACCTTGAAAGATATTGAAATACGCGACCTTATGGATGCGGTAACTTTTTGCATGTCTCAAGGAACATTTACTTTCCATTGCATGAGTATATTTATATTTTTCACCATCATCTATTACATTGACATTGTTAACTTTAGCCCCTCCATTTTGTCTAGCTTAGATGAGCTACATTCTGATTCTTTGTTACCTTGTGCTATTTGGTCAAGAAATTTCATGTTCATAGCCCTCGCAACTAGGTTCCTTGATATTCACTAGTCTTGCTCCTATTTCAAGTCAAAGCATTATGTAGTTCTTAATGTGCAGTAACTTTAGATGCATATGTGGATATGATATAGCTGCGGTAGTGGAGGACTTCTGAGAATTTTCGGTGGCTCCTTGATATATCATCTTTTTTTTTCAGTGTCTCAATCATAAGAACTCCAAAGTTAAGTGTGCTATGCTTGGAGTAATTTTATGTTTGGTGGCATTCTGAGAATTTTCTTAAGATGCATGTGAGTGAAGACAAAATAATGTAACTTCGTTGCAATAGAATGTTAGGGTTGCAAGGGTTGCACTAGAATGTTAGGGTACACAGATGCCAAATTTGGATGCATTTGAATCTTGGACATGAGCCGTTACTAAAATTAAAATTTTAGGGTGATTGAAAGGAATAGAACTCTTCAAAGTTAAATTTTTGAGTTCGGATGGCTCTTAATTTAGCTCAATTTAGCTCAATTCCATGCCTCCGGTTGATGTCCTTTTTGTTATTGTTCTCCATTTATAATTAACTTAATTAGGAGCGATTTTTTGCAACTCCTACTGGGGATTTGTAGATTTTGGTCAACGTTTTACTAACATCACTTTGTTATAGAGACTTGAGTAGTAGTGGGATGTAGAATTCTTTGATATAGTTTTGATATAGTGTGATGTCTTACATTGGTGGGAGAGGAGAACAAATCACCCTTTATAAGGGTGTGGAAACCTTCCCCTAACAGATGCGTTTTAAAGCCTTGAGGGGAAGCTCGAAAAGGAAAGCCCAAAGAGGACAATATCTGCTAGCAGTGGGCCTGGGTCGTTACCAATGGTATCAGAGCCAGACACCGGACGATGTGTCAATCTTCTCGCTGTTCCCCGAAGGGGGTAGACACAAAGCAGTGTGCTGGACCCCAAAGGGGGGTGGATTTGGAGGCAGTCCCACATCGATTGGAAAAAGGAACGAGTGCCAGCGAGGACGTTGGACATCGAAGGGGGGTGGATTGTGATGTCCCACATTGGTTGGGGAGGAGAACAAATCACCTTTATAAGGGTGTGGAAACCTTCTCCTAGCAGACGCGTTTTAAAGCCTTGACGGGAAGCCCGAAAGGGAAAGCCCAAAAAAGACAATATCTGCTAGCGGTGGGCCTAGGTTGTTACATATATAATCGATATGTCCTGTCTTTTGCTTAGGTTCCTATCCCAGAATTTGACTTTTTGTAACTTCTCTCATCTTGTTTTTCTTTTATAAAAAAGTTGTGGGAAATCCGCATATTCAACTTGGAATTTGACTCTCTCCCGCAGTACTGATTACTATTCTGTGGTTGTCTTTCTTCCCGTTTAAGAAGGAAGGTGGCTATGGAAGAAAAGGCTGCTTCAAGTTTCAGAAATGAATTTGTTTCTATGATCAATCAACTTTGTTGAATTTTCATATGAATCTGTATGGTTTGTATGCTTACAGGTTCTTGAACCCCAGGAAAATTTACTT